TGTATATATAATCACACTTTTAATTAGGTGTGATTAAAATATATATACATATAATCACACTTAATTGAAAAGTGACATAAAAAATAAATATTATCACACTCAATCAAATTAAGTGTGATTAAAATATCAATCTAATTTTTTTTATCACACTTCCAATAAAAGTGAGATCTTTAACTATTTTTGTAGCAGTGAAAATTTGTTTTGGGATTATTTGCTTACGAAATTTTTTGAGTTTGTCTTTAATCGATTTTTTTGGGTCTATATTTTACCCTGTTAAAAAAAATTTAGGCTTTAAAGGTTTGTTTTCAATCTATTTTAGCGGTTTTTTTTTTGAGTTTCTTTCTACTTTTTTTTAATTAAAATTTTGGGGTTATAGGATTTGTTTTCAATTAGTATTTTACGGAATTTTTTTTTTTTTATATTTGTTTTCTACTCTTTCTTTTACTAAAATTTTGGGTTTGTTTCAATTAGTATTTTTGGGAATTTATTTGGTTTGTTTTCTACTCTTTCTTTTTCTAAAAATTTGGGTTTAGGTGGTTTTTTTGGGTTTATTTTCGACTCTTTTATTTACTAAAATTTTGATATTGTAATGTAAGCTTGTTGTGTAGATGCCCTCTGATATTCATGAATTTTGTGATGAATTTTTGTATTTAGGACAATGGCTGATCCCCTGCTTCATGACATACTAGTACACTTTAATGGTTCTGTGAGTCAGATTTTGAATGTTAATCCTTACAAGTATAACTACATGCAATCGTTGGCTGATGCTTGTGCAGCTACACTCACTAATGTACTTGGGAATTTTGATGTGGGATTAAATTTGTACTTTACAAATACACACACTAAGAGTAAGTGGAGGTTAAATCTGATTACGATGTCATTGAAATGTTTAGTTCAAATTATGGTACAAAGTTGATTAATATTTTTCTGGAACTTGATCAACTTTTACCTTCATTTGTTATAACTGATACTCCTACTAGTGGAGAGGTACACGTGAGTAGTAGTGGCACAAGTACGAGAGGTGGTGTAGGTAGTAACATTGGAAATAGATCGGTAGTATTTGATGATTTATTTAGTAATGTGGATGACTACAATGATGTTGATTGGACTGAGTTAGGGGATTTTGAATTTAGTGAAGTAGATGCTGATGAAGAAAATGCTTATATTATTAGTGATGAGGATGATGAGGACACTTCAGATAATGATAAAGGTAGTAATGGGTCAGATGAACCAATTGAGGCTAATGATGAGCGGATATCAGACTATGAATCTGATGATATAGGAGGGAAATATTCTATTGATGATGAAGATGTGCAAGGTGTTAATGTTGACAGATATATGAAGGGAAAAATGTTTGAAATAAAGGAAGGGGAGAAAATAACATTGGAGAAAGGAATGATATTTGATGATGTGTATCACTTCAGGACTATGCTCCAGGAATTTGCAATTGAAAGAGGTTTTAAAGTGATTAAAATAAAAAATGACAAGAAAAGAGTGACTTGCATATGTGCTTCCTCGATGTGTGAATGGAGGATTCATGCTTCTCCATTACCTAATGGGGTGACATATAAGATTAAGACATTGGGCCCTGACCATACATGCGTTAGAGTAGAAAGGAATATTGAAGCAACAACATCTTAGATTGCTACGAAGTTTGAAAAAACTCTTAGAGGTAATCCTGGGATCACTTTAGAGGCAATGCATGATGAAATAGCTGAAAATTATGGATTGGAGACTACAAGGATGCAACTGTACAAAGGAAAAAGGAAAGCCATGGAGGCAATTAAGGGAAATCATGCAAAGGCTTACACCAAACTTCCAATGCATGCTGCAGAAGTGTTGAGGACCAATCTTGGTAGTTTGGTCAAAATTGAAAGGGAAAGAAAGCCACCATCTAAACCAAACTTACCCCCTCCCTTACCAACATTCATGGCAATCTTTGGTAACCCCTAACATTAAGAAGAAATTAAATGAAGTGGTTCTTCAGTCTAGGCTTTGTAAAGTGACTTTTGCAGGACAAGAGGAGTATCAAGTGGTTGAAGGTGTGGTGTCTTATATTGTGAACCTACAAAGAAGGTCATGTTGTTGCAGGATATGGGACATAAGTGGAGTCCCTTGCAAGCATGCCACAACTTGCATTACTCACTAGATGATGAACTTGGAGACCTATTGTGACATAATGTACTACAAACACATTTATTTTAAGGCATATGAGGAAATTATACATCCAATGCATGATGAGAGTTTATGGGGTCTAGTTCTTGGAGATGAGTTGAAGCCTCCACCTCTCAAGAGGATGCCTGGAAGACCTAGAAAAAGTAGGAGAAGAGAAGTTGATGAGGCTGCACCATCAAAAAGATTATCCACTGTGAAGTGCATCATTTGCAAGGGGATTGGGCACAATAAGAGGACATGTCAGAGGGCACCTATTAGGGGTAGGGAAATGGGCACAAATGAGTCTACTCAGAGAGGAATTGGTACTGTTGTTGAAAGGAGCACTATTGGAAGGTCCATAGCTACTGAGAGGAGCATTGTTGATGTATGTGTGAATGACAAATGATTATGTTATGTTATTTTATTTTTCCACAAGGAATTTGAGGCCAACTAATCCAATTCAATTTTTAGGATCAAGGACAAGATGGGGTACTTCCAACTCAGTGGAGCATGACTTGAACCATAGGTATGCATGCAATTGCATCATGCATGACACTTAAAATATATTCATTTGTGTTTATTAATTTGTTGTTCTTTGATTTTTTAATTTTCAGGTGATGCTTTTTGTATAGGGGATGCTGGAAGGAATTAAAGACTAGGGTATACTTTTTTGTGTAATTAGTGGGTATAGTTTTCTAACAATGATGTCTTCATATTAGCACATATCGGAAGGCATGCATCCTTGCTCACCATAGGTTTTTGAATTGGGTGGGCTACTACTCTTTTATTGACTTGCAAAGTTTTTGTTGGACAAGAATTTGTAACTAAGGCCAAGTTTGGCATCCTATAAATAATTCATCTTTTTATCATCACATCATCTCTCTACTTTTTTACACATCTTTTGGTAAAAAGACAAAAAGTACACTTATTTAGATCATCCTAAACAACCCCTAAGATATAGTATTGCAAGGTTTATTTTGGTGGACATGAATATGTAATTAAGTTAATATTTCAGACTTGTGTATCTGAATTTTTAAGCTAATATTTCAATTTCAAGCTACTTGAGTGCTCTTTCTCCATTCCTTCCATGTTGAAGAGGATTCCATGGTATTTATTTATTACCAAAAAAATAACTATGAACCCAAAAAAAAAAACTTAAAAAATAACAAATTAACTAAATAAGTTATGAATACAAAATTAATTGATTTAATAATTTATGGAATGCAAAATTAAAATGGAAAAACACTTATTAGCTGCTAAAAATGTCGTAAATTTAACAAATAATTAAATAAGTTACCAACGTACGAAATGATTTATTAAAAGATTCTTAGGCTATGTATGGTTTGATTTTTAGAAATTTTTTTTAAAAATTAAAAATTAATTTGGTTAAGAAATAAAAAATAAAAAATAATTATCATTTTTATATAATTTTATCTTTCAAGTTATTTGAAATATTTTTTTACAAATTAAATATATTTCTTCATATTTATTTTTATTAAATTAGTTTTTATTTCTTTTAAAAAAGTTTGAAATGTTTTTTTAAACAACAAACCAAAGGGATTTTAGGTTAGTTCAGGTTGTTTGGTTGTATTCAACAAAAAATAAAAAAGAAAAAGAAAAAAAAGATTGTTTGGTGCTTTGGTACTAATTAAGTTAGGTTGCCTGGTTGCGTTAATTTTTTTTTTTTTTTAATAAAAAAAGGTTGTTTGGCACTTTGAAAGGTCCCAGGGGTAATATGGTCCATCAACATACATTTTGCTGATGTTAACACGGGAGACTCTATTTACACACCACTTTCCCTCTCAAGGCAAACCACTTTTAAAGACACACCATAAAGAATTTGCAAAAATAAATATTTTTCTCATCACACACCACAAATTTATATATTTAACCTTACTCACACACCGATCGACAACAATATACATACAAAGGTCCATCTTTGCCCCCACACAGCCACACACCCCACACCCACGATATTCATCTCCCCCTCCATTCTCTATTTACATCGATGAACACCATTGCTGAAAACACTCATCAAGACGTCGTTGGTGGTGTTGCTGTTGAACAGATGTAAGTTGTTCGATTGTAGTTTGTCGAACATATGTAATTTGTTCAATTGTAGTCTGTTGAACAGATGTAAGTTGTTCTTCTATTCGATTATAGTTTGTCGAACATATGTAATTTGTTCAATTATAGTCTGTTGAACAGATGTAAGTTGTTAGATTGTAGTCTGTTGAACAGATGTAATTTGTTCGATTGTAGTTTGTCGAACAATGATATATCATTCACCTCTGGTTAACCGAACAACGATTTGCCACTCATAAATGAAAACGAAGACGAAAACAACAAAAAAAATAATCTTTTTATTGCTCCATTGTTCCGAATGAGAATTGTCAGATGCATCATTCATTGAATCCAATCAAAATCTTCAATAATACTATATTTTTGATTATTTGTTGAAGGGTTTTTGATTTTGGTTTTAGGGTTTTTGGATTCTTGGCAGAGAAGATACATAATGAACAAGTTTGAAATTGATAATTTATATTATATTGATTCTTGTCCTTTATGGTAAATACACAAATGAGGTGTATCATAACTTGTCCTCTATAGTCATTTCACTTAAGGCTAAAATTGTAATAAAAAATAAATTAATTAATTATTTGTCTTGAGAGGGAAAGTGGTGTTTAAATAGAATGACCCTATCAACACACTTCTGTAATGGTTTAGTTCACGGCAAGAGTCAAATTGTTACGCGAATATAAATCTTTAGGGGCGAGATGTAATTTTTAAAACTTTAAGAATGTTTATAATTTAGTCAAAATTCAAGAGGTATGTATAATTTATCCTAAATTATAAAAGAAGAAAAAAAAAAGTTCACATTCGAGACGAACTTCGACAAAGGTTGAGAAGAGCAAGAAGGGCTGTCTTCGGAGTCGGAGCGTAGCACGAGAGGCGCGACGACGGAGGAGAAGGGTAGTAAATATCCTAGACTCCCCTCGCTTCTCATTTGCTTTGTAGCTCTCTGCGCTTCGCGCGGCTAGGGTTCTGCCTATGTATCTCTCTCCGGCGATCTCTCTGGTTCAGTAAGGTTAGAGCTCTGCTCTGTTTTCTTCGATCTCGTGTTCCTATATATGTTGTTCGATATTTATAAGTATATTTTCTTGTTGATGGATTTGGAGTGTGTTATTGTTGAATTGTTTGATTCTTTTTGTTTCTTTCCGATTTTGTTTAATTAATCTCTTATGTTGTGGATCGATTGAAGTATAGATGTGTCTCAGTGTGAATTGATGGAAGTATTAATGGATTTGATATTCTATAGCAATTGCCTTGAGGTATTTTCATATGTTTCCATTATTGAATCTTCCCTTTTCTGCTGAATTTATGTGTAAAGATACTCATGGATCTATTAACTATATATATACACGTATGAAGAGATTGGGATTAATGCTCTTTTGGCTTAAACGTAAGCTCACATCATTGAATTGTGGTATTAAATTGGAAGTCTTTGATGTTTTGTTGTTTCTGATTTATTTAGTTAATTCACACACACACACACACACACACATATATATATATTTATTTATTTTTATTTGAAGTGACCCCATTTGATGGGACTTCAGGCAAGGCAAGGCTTGGTTTGGTTTGGTTTGGTTTGGTTCAGTCATATATTTTTTTGAAATCAACATGCCCTGTACCTGGCTCTGTTTGCTGGAAAGATTTTCACCTTCTGACTTTTGCTTCCCTCTTGTAAAATTGAGGTCAAGCAATAATATATATATATATATATACATGTATACATATATATACTAGGAAAAATGAACCTAACAGACAGTGTGTGCGCTCATTTGATGTATGTAGTTAATTTTTTCCAAATCTTTTATATGTAAAATCTGCCAAATCCACAACAATTACTTACTATAATGGATTCCATATAAATTTCATTATGGGCAAATTACACCGGTGATCCCTACCCTTTGTGTCATTTTGGTTTTTATACTTTCAATTGACTTAATTTTGACTCTTATAATTTTAAATTTTATGTCAATTTGATCTATTAGATAATATCATTAGTGTTGAGTTTAGCAAGTTTATAATTTTTTTATGTACATATTTTTCATAAAAAAATGCTAAGAGTTGTAATCAATTAGGTCAAATTGAGACAAAATCATAAATTCAAAGTCAAAATCGAACCAATTGAAATTACAGAGACTAAAATGAAACAAAGATCTCTTCCATTTGTTGCTAGGAATGGACTGAGTTTGGTTGTAGGTTGATGTACCAAGTGAAGGTTGTTCCAGTTAGAGAGTTTGTGAACAGCCTCAACTTCAGGAAATCATTCTTTCCTATTTCGCCACATTGTATAGTAAACCTGACAATATATTTATCCAAAAAAAAAAAAAAAAAATAGTAAACCTCACAATAAAAAAATAGTAAACCTGACAATATGCTCAACAGTAGAATGATTATCTTTACCAGAAAATAAAACAAAATCAGGAACTTTGTACCCTCTAGGAAACTCGTGGGCTTTGTTGATTGCTTCTGGATAGGGTTTTCGATAGATGGGCCTGCTAACACGCTTGAGTGTAGGACTGAATTGCTCCTGAATGAGATCCATGACCTTATCCTTGTTCATGGCCAGATTTAGTTGATATGCCCCCTGATAAGCTCCATGTGGTGGTTGATTGTAGAAGGTCTGACCTCTTGGTTCAGGAATCGGAACAAAATTCTACCCTTTTTGTTCCGGAATCGGAGCATAGTTATGCCCTATCAGTTCAGGAATCGAAGTAAAGTTTTGTCTATTCTATTCTGGAACAGTGAGCAAAGGGTTAAGTTCTAACCAACCTCCTTGGGGCTGAGGCTGACCGTTTCGCATAGGCCTAGGAGCAACTCCTTGAGCATTCTGTTGATGTTGTTTCTGAAGGTTTTGGTTCTAGAAGTTCTGATTCGAGTTCTAGAAACTCTGGTTCTTAGGATTCTGATGTTGTAGATTCTGGGGGTTATGAGGAATCTGGCCATCTCTGATTTCATACGGTTGAAACCTAGGAAGTTGTCCAACAAGTTCAACGCCGCCCCCCCCCCCCCCCCCCCAAGTTCAATACCTTGTCCTCCTTGCCCTCCAAGCATGGGGTTATTAGAGGAAGAGGCTGGAAAAAACTCCTGGAGGTGGTTGAGAAGTACCAACTGACCTGCTTTGAGGATTCTGTTCTGCAAGAGTATTAGTCAGTTCTGTTGCAAGCAGAACTAGAGCTAGTGGGGGCCGTAGAAACCCTGTCTCTAAAAGTTGCCATCATGTCGGTGATAGCTTTTACGAAATTGGTCTGGGATTGCCTCATTTCTTGTAACAGAGTGACCAAGGAATAAAAGAGTTCTTAGGACAACTCTTTCTGTGTTGGTTGTGATTAAGTAGTTCTTTAGACTTTCTGCCACATTGAAGGCCCTCTTAGGATTGCGTGGCATTCTTGAAGGCCTGGATTGTTTGGATCTTGGGCTTTCAGGAGGCGACACTGCTGACTGGCTTATTGCATTCTCCCTCTACCTCTACCAACCATGATAATGTGTGATAAAGAAGACATCTAGCGTCCCATTGGACGTGCCAAAATTGTTTACCACTTAGAAAAACAATAGGGTGAACACGTAGGCTGTGTTTACTAGGATTTGGTGCGGGTGTGCCAGGACTTGTGGATGTAGTCTAAGGTTAGGAATGTTTGGATATTTTTGACTTCTAACACAGAGAAATGATTGTGTGTGGTTCAGAGGAATTGCCACATGTTCGAATCTTGCCTTAATGAAGAGAACTTTTACTAAATTTGCTAGGTGCAAAAGGTAACTAAATTAGAATTGTACTTTCATTGATTGACAAATGAAGTACAACAACTAATCTAAGGATAATTTGGATAAACAACTAATTGCTTGGAATTGAAATTGCTTGAATGAAAGACAAAGCTGTAAGAAGCTAAGATAAAAGTTATGAAAAGCTAAGTTGAATTGTAGATAGACTCTTGGTAGAGTTCTTGGTGCTAGATCACTTCAAATGTTGGCTTTAGAGTCCTTTTTATGGTGTTGGGATACCCCCATTTTTGCTTGACTGCTACGAACATGGCAGCCCTTCCTTGTGGCAATTGTCCCGTGATCCTTGGCTTGATCCTCAAGTATAGCAACCAGTAAACCACTAACGGCTAGTATCCCTCCTTCGTAGCTTTGAATTAATCCACCAAGCTCCCCAAGCTGCCACGTGTACTATCCACAAGAAACCTAAAATCCATTATGCAGTACTTGGGGAAAACGGTTCCTTGTAGCCTATTTGTTGATTTGCCAAAACCCATTAAGTCCCACGTGTGATCTCCATGAGCAGCCGCTTAGCAAGAATCAAGGGATAAGGCACCTTTTTAGGGAGATGGGCCTCAACCAACTCATATTCCTTGGGAAACGGTTGAGGTCCTCCATATCTTCCAAATCTAAATTAATTAATTAACCCAACAACTTGGTTGACTTAATTAATTAAAATAAAATTAAAACCCTGGCCACCATTTTGCCTTGATGGGTCCCCCACAAATCCTCAACTCTTCATCTTCCATCACCACGTGGCATTTCATAAATTGGGGAATTGCCACGTGGCAATTTTTGCTAAAAAGGGTACAAACAAATATATCTATTGATTCGAATATAAGAATCTAACTCTTTCTCAAAAAAGTGATTCAAGAAAGAATGAATCAAACATACAACTCATGCATTTGAATATATACAAAACAAATCATGCATTTCATATACCAATCATGCCATTAACTTATGAAGTTGTGTAATTAACTTGAAATAAACCCTAGCATGTTTCTTCCTAGAACCCCTACCTTTACGCGAAGCTTTCAAACAAATAATGGGAAATGAGGTAGGAAAGGTGAATGCTCCAAGAACACATCAAGTCTTGAAGTTTTGATCTACAAATCCAACACCAAAGTGTGTTTCCAAACTCACCAATCACTCTCTAAGTGTTTGTTTATGGTTTCTAACTCACCAAATCACCCAAGGTCCAACAATGGTAGAACTAGGGTTAGAGTTTTAAGAGCATGCAAGGAAGAAGATGAAGAAAATCCCAAAAAAGAAAAAAGAAAAAGAAAAAAGAGAGAGGATGACAGAGCTCTCGGTGTGGGTAGGGAAAAATAGGGAAAGTTTCTTCTCTTTTTCTCTCTTTGGCCTGTGTATAACTCTTGCAAAAGATGACAATTTAACCTCTTAATTAATCCAACTTAAACTTTAATCCAAAGGCCCAAAATACTTCTAGCTGTAATGAACTCAATCACAACCCTCCATTTTGAATAATTATACATATATAATAGGACCATATAGGTTAAAGTGTGATTGGCACAACAAATGATGCCTCATTTTGTCACGACCCCAACCTGCCCTAAACAGGATGGTGCAGTGGTCAGCTAGTGGTCCTTGACTACCAAAGACCTAATTAAACAAAAGCAAGTTGGACACTTGTAATAGCTAGGGCAAAATTTTCAATTACAAGTGCGGAAGCCATTATTTCTTATATTGAATCCATTTGAAACATTCATCCAGAGCAGTGCATAATTATATGAAATGAAAGTATACATTCCTCTTGGGTTATTGTCTTGCTTTATTGCATGTTCTATACATCAAAAGTAAAATACAGTACTTATGACATAACTTTACAAAACCAACAGAAGCATAGGATACCAACTTCTAATCAACTTTTCTTGGTAATTGAGCTCTTCATCACCTACATATACATATAAGGGAGAGGGGTGAGCCATTGGCCAGTGAATAGTAATATAGTAAAGCGGTAAATGAATGAACACCAATGAGCTTTATAAACATAGCATCAAATCATAGTTTGAACATAGCTTTAACTTGAGCAAGACATTGCATAACCTGGCTTGCAAACATTTACATAATGATGAACATATCAATGATTGTAAGGTGCTTAACTGGCCCAGATACCGGCTAAATGACACACCTGAAGGTGGCAAGGTGAGCTTGGCCATCAAGACATGATTGGTTATTCCCCAAATATTGGGTCATGATCTGTGTAAGTAAAGGACCAAGTTGTGTAAGGAAATGGTATAAAAGAGGAAAAAGATGAGACAAAAAGGAGAGAAAGAGAGGGCTGGCTGGTTGACCCCTTGTGGACACCAATTTTTATACATTTTGCATTAATTAAAGGTTTTGGGCTTCCCTCCAAAATCCTAGCTCAAAACAATAAAGTTTGGATACATATATTATACGTTTTCTATACTAGAATTGCTTGAAATTCGTAGGGATAACTACAATAAATTACACACAGATAAATAACACAAAATTAATAATTACTGGCCTCAGAGAGCTCATGTCTTGAATCTCAAATTGAATTGATCCTGCGTGTGCGCATAATGAGACAATTTGTGCATTAGAATTCCCTGTCATGGGTCGAATCAAATTCGATTTGTCTAACATGCTACCATGAGGCTATGCGCTTACTTGAGATATCTCTGTTTTTGCTCATTGATTGGAGGTTGTCTTGCCTAAGTTGGGATTGCTTTGATCTTTTTGCAAATGAGCTTTCTTTCTTTTTATTTGGATCAGTCATTTCAAAAACTCTTTTCAAAATGCAAGAGATCAAAGTGTTCTAAAGTAGGTGATTCAGTTTATCTTGTTTGCTCCATCTAGTAAAGTTAGCATTAATAATAGGAACATGAGCATATTTTGGTAATGAATCTCATATAAAGAATTAGTAGAGGCCAATTTTTAATCGTGTGAGTGGGGGTGCTCAATTCATGACCTTCCCTCCTCATACGTAAGTTCCCAAGCCAAAACATTCTAGTTATGATGGACAGTGCGAGTCAAGGTTTCCTAATTTCTCCAAAAAAATTAGGTGTTGACTTTAAGTCCAGTGACGTGGTCCTGGTTTGGCATTTCTTGTGATTAGTAGATTTTCTATGGATTTGCCATATTTGGACCCTCATTCGTTTCCCGTTGTACATTTGTAAATCAGACGGGGAGTGAATTGTCAGGCGCATTCCCCTTTTCGAGGAGATCCCGCAGCTATCATAGAGGATCTTACGCTTGTCTCTGATCTTGAGCTTTTGGATTACTCGGACTATCAGATTCCTGATTTGAGCGAGTATTAGGACTTCACATGTGTTTTAAATTATATCAGTGTCTCCATAATTTAGTATTGTGTGTGTGAAGTTGAGTGTTCTTACAATGAGATCGTGAAAGGTTATGTTTCATTTATCTCTGTAATTGTTAAGCTTTATAAGTGTAACTCTAGTTATGTTGACTATCAGCCCGTATAACTAATTACTAGTTTATTTAGTTTGTATATGAGAATTAAGTTAAAAATGTCAAATATTAGGTTTCGGTGACGAAGTCGTGCATAATTGTTCTAGTTTTACAACTGGAAAATAATTTTTGTTTACCAATTTTCTAGAAAAACTAAAATAAAAAAATCAAATCATTACCAAACGGGAACAATAATGACATTTCAATTTGTTGACAATAATGGTTAATGATACGGTTATTATCAAGTGTGCTTCAATTTTATTTTTAGTCCGTACACTTCAGTTGAAATATTAGAAAATGATTAATGTTTTCATGTTAGTTTTTTTTTTATTTAAATTTTTTAATTTTTTTTAAAGATTTAAGTGTAAAAATGTGTTTTGTAAATACGCTTTATAAAAAACTAAATATGTATTTACAAAATCTGTTTTGCACAGTGATTTATAATTTTCATAAGAAACATGTTTACAAAACTCGTTTTTGATTAATAAATGTTTGAACATACCTTAATAGAAAACATGTTTGAAAACACATGTTTATTATAAGATCATTTTATTATTATTTTAATCAATCTTATAATAAAAAAGAAGTTAAAAGCATATTTTCAAAACCTAACGTAAAATCGGAAAAAACATAAAAAATGTATTCGAAACCCATTTTACTAGCAATAAAGCAAAAATTCACCCATTAAAATTGTAACATCTGATACAAGTTTACAAGACAGAAATGGGCCAAATGGGGGAACCGCAAGCTCCCAAACCAGAACTCATCGACAAGAGCTTGAAGTGGTCAGTGGCCTCCAAAGTCGTCATTTTAGCTGACCTCAACGTTGATGCCCCTGAATCTGACGGCACTGATTCCTTTCCTGACCCCATCCTCGTCTCCGCCTCCACTTCAGATGTTTCCAGGTATGTTATGTTACTTTTCCCCTCGCCTCATCAAGTCATTTCTCAATTCCTTTTTTTTTGGGGTTCTTTGGTATGATTATAAAAGCATATGCATTTCGTTCTTTGGTACATAAAAAATATTTTTCTTGTAAATTGATTTTACACAGGAAAAATGTTTTATTTTTGTTTTTCGGCGTTAAACTTGAAACAAAAATATTTTATTGCCTAAAAGAGAAATTTTGATTTAATAAAGTATCATTTGACTTTTTAGTGAGCTAAGATATTTATTTAAAAAGGCTAAATGTGTTGAAAAAGTAGTAAGAGTCAACTTTGTAAAAATTGACTTACGGAATTTTAAAAAATGTCATTTTTGGGAATATGATGCAAAAATATTTTCCTTAAAAAATGTTTTACTTATTGTTTATTCAACCAAACAACGGAAAATGAGTAAAAATTTTTGACAAAAACATTTTACGTCCTCGATGTCATCTGATGTTTTCCCGAAATGACTTTTGAAAACTACTCTCTCTCTCTCTCCCTTTTCCACATTTTGCTGTTTAGGTTTAGTGGGACTGATTCGCTGGTGTTAACTTCTGTAATACTGAGGAAAGAAAAACATAAAAGATGAGTTCTTGCAACATTTTTGAGGCTTTGTTAAGCAGATTACTCGTTAGATTCAAAATTTTGAGTTTTCTGGACCTAACCAGGGAATTGTAACTATTGCAACAAATTGCAAGCAAGAAAAACAGGGACAATGTATTTACTCAACAAATGACATTACAAAAACTACCCCCACATTACAATTCAGCTCCTTTTTATAATCTCCTCAACACCAAGATTAACAACTAACCTTATCTATCTCTAACTGCCCAAACGACCACTGTCCAATTCTCATCCCTCTAATACGGCTTCTAACTAATCAAATTGACAAAACTACTAACAAATCCTAGCTGAAACAACTAATTGTGATCAATAAAACGACAACATCATTTTAAAGTAATGAAACAATGCTGTCCCACTGTGCTCTTTATTAGCTTGTAACATTTTTCTATCTACATTTTCTCAGCAAACAAGCAGAAAGAAAGCAAAATTAATAGATTAGGTAGGATTTGGGAGTATTGATCAAAGTGCTTTTTGTTTTTTATTTTTAATATACGTATAAAGAGGATCGAAGTGCTTACTTGCAGACAATGAGAAATGAAATTGAATTTTCACAAGTAACGACTATTTGCGTGTACTATAATGTATAGTATGTGTGTATATGAGTGTGTTGCTGGGGAGAATACAATTTCATGTTGTGTTAGTCAATTTACTGTTTTTAATGGTACTGGTAGTTTGAGCTATTGTTATTTTTGCAGTTAATTTTTGACAAAGATTCAGGTGTTATGTAGGTTGGTTAGTGCGGAAAGTAGTCAATGTAAAGGCACTTTAATGAGTAAAGATATTGATATTGTCGAAGGAGAAGGTAAACAGTTAAAAAAGTCAGCAAAATGCCGTCCAAGGATTGGTAAGGTAGAGTACCCTCTTGACTGTGGAGCTGATGCAGATGCTGATCAGCATGGTCAGGGGGTCTCCTCATCACGCGAGGAAAAAGTGAGCAGCCTTAAAACAGTGAGTTCCCTTGTTACCCCTTCATTAATTTAATTTAATTTAATTTTTAATTTTTAGGGAGGGATTTTATTAATAAAAGAGAAGAAATGAGAATAGGACAAGTTGTCCACTTCAAGTCCAATAATCATTACGCCAATTAATTCCAAAAACAAAACTCCTATACATCACAGATCGCTTTCCAATATCTAGAAATGAAAAAGAACAGTACCCCTTTGAAAGCTGAAGAAATAGATTCCCAAAATGAGACGTCCAATGACACGTTCTCCCACTAGTCGACATCCGTGAACTTATCCTAAACAATCATTGCATTCCTTTACAACCAAATGCCCAAAAAATAGCGAAGATTGTACATTGCCACAACACTTCTGCTCTCTCTTTTTTGAACCAAGTGCTTTGAAATCAAATCGAAACATATGAGCAGATTCTCCCAGAGTCACTCACTGTGAATCCGCTAATAAAGCTAAGTGGTTCCATAGATTCAATTCCCCACTCCTACACATAATGCACCATTGAGGACAAAGATGGCGATTGGGTCTCCTCGATTGTAGAACATCATTTGTCAAGGTACTTCCATGAACCAAGGACCACCTAAAAATTCTCACTTTGAGAGGCGTAAATGCTTTCCATTTCGTTGATAAAATGGCAATGATAAAACATTGGATTTATTGACTATTTTATCAAAGAACGAATAAACTTGAAAAGATGGACGAGGGATGAATGAGCCAAAGCCGCTTGTCTCTTACATTTGGAGCCAGGGAAACACATTCAAGCAAAGATAACAAAGATGCCCATTCCCGATTCTCCCAATTACTTCTAGAAAATTTTAAGTAACAAGAAATTGGCACCACACTAGAAGATGCCAAAGAAGCAATGAAAGCAAAATGGGACCTAGCCACCTTATAAGAACTTGAAGCGCCATCCCCTGAACTAGAAGAACTTGAGACGCAGTTTTCATGCCTCAAAAATGAAGAAACAAATATGGGCACCTTGTTCGATAGAATCACTAGAAACACCTAATTCTTCAGTATTGATTGAGTTAGACATCTTCTCACAAACTCCATCCTTGATGCGTTTCTTGTAGGTTGTTGGGGTATAATCCTCTTCATGAAATAAAGCATTGAAATCCTGATCAGACTCATCATCTTCCTCCTGTTCCTTTCCTTTATAGTTTATATCATCTTCCAATTTTGAACTCTTAGAACCATACTCTTCCAAGGCATGCAAAACCTCTTGAGGATCAAATTGTGCATTCTCTAGATTTGAAATCAATCTTCCAATCCCTCCATCATCACCCAAAATCTCATTCCTCGCCATTGAATTTTTAGTCGCTTCCTTGTTGAAAGCATAGGCTTCTTTTCTTTGATGTCCATCTTGAAGTAGTTCTCTTCTGGCTCTATCAACAATATCCCCCCAATCAGGCTGGATCTCCTCCAAGTTCAAGCTCTCCATTCTTAACTGGGATTTGCCAAACCTACAAATTGGGCCTCACCTTTCGTGAAAACTTTCTGTGAGTCACCATGAGAGTTGTCGCCATCAATCACTCCAATACCTTCGTTGGGATTTCCCTCTTGATTCTCGTACTGTCAACATTGGTAACATAACCTTTGGATCGTCGACTGAGTAGCCCTAACTGGAGAACCCATCAGACCCGATCTTTCCTTTGACCTGCCTCTTTCTTAGAATTGAACCCTGCCTAGATCCAATGCCCCACTTGTCTGTGCTTGGCTTGCTCTTCTTAGACCTTGTGAATAGGCCTCAAGGTGATTTTGGGCCCTAGTACATAACCCCTTCTTCTCTTTAGACACTATTGTGTCCAAAGCTTGGTTTGAACTTATAGTTAGATGTTCTTGAATTATGAGACTGGACCTGAGAGTGAAATTGGGCCATGTCCATCTTTCCATTTAGTGCAAAGTTTTCAAAGGCGCAGTTGAGGTGCACCTCAAGGCGCATGTTGAGGCGAGGCACAGCAGAAACGTACTGATGCATGTATTTTTAGGCATGACTCCAACTATGTGCAAGCCTCAATAGCATAGGCGTACGACTCTCTCACCAAGGGGGAGGGGGGGGGTTGGGGGGTTCGGGAGAGTCCTGGCCCCTACAAGCTTTTGGGAATACGCTATATATTAGGCATCTTTTATATATTCTCATGGTTTTGCAGTACCTGGCCCCTCCAAATTAATTTTAGCCATCCATTCCTTGTCTAGGTGACTGGCCCAAAAGATCTCCACCTTGCATTTTATCTTACTTTTTGTTGTTTTTCGTAGGTACTCTATACTCTCAAAGGAGTTTATTAAACAACCCATTCTTCATGTACTTTGGATCAGCTTTATACCCTTAAGAAACCAGCTTTATACCTTTTTTTTCATTATAAAACAATCGAATTTTTCATTTCAATTAGTTTAGCAATCTTACAAACTCAGAAAAATATTTAGAAAAAATGAAGAGTCTATATTCATTGTAATATTCATTGTAAGTATGACCTGCATCTCATTAATTTTAAATTTACATCACATATACTTTCTGGATAAAATTCAAGGTTAATTTTCTCATTTCATAACATTGTGTTTCTTTTTTCCTTACCTCTGTCCCTTTTTAGTCTTTTCCTTCTCACTCAGCAACACACATCTTGATATTGCTATGATTCACATTCATTCATCACTGATTTACATTTTTATTACTTTAAATTTCAAGACATGCTATATTTATCACCACATTTATTTTAAACGTTTATTTTATTTTCTATATGTATTTATATAATAATGTAATGTGTATATGTGAGGCGTATCATATTAAAAAAATGATAGAACCCATCATGCTACATGAGAAGTTACATAGAATGTGAAAAGTATTTAATATATAACAACCCTTTTTTCTTTTGTAGTATGTAAACAATTATTTATATTTATTTGGTTCAAACTTTATTACAAACAAAATTGATCCAACTAAATTCGTTTGCCTGGTGGGACTTGTCTCGCTACCATTATTTTGGGCCCCTCAATGATCCAGCCCTGGCTCCGCCCCTGTCTCTCGCATTTTTTGCGCTTTTAAGCTTTCAAAGCTTTTGATTTAAAAATAAAAAAACAGATACAAAAGGGAGAAAAATGAAAACTTGCTATATACAATACTTCGATTAAATAGAATTCGAATAAAGAGAAGATATAAATACCATGCGTGGACGATCGATCTCAGTAAATTAGAGTCCAAGGTCCAATCTTAGTTGCATGAAGTGGGAGCGGGAGCAGGAGCCGGAGCGTGGAATTGTAGACATTTCAAGAATTGTTGGTTGGGAGCGTTTGTATATATTTTAAATAATATATAAAAATATATTGTAAGATTATATTTTTTTCTCTAAGATAATGGAAATATATTTTTCAAATATATTATTATATGAATATGAGTTAAAAAGTTGTCCCAATAATTTTTTCATATAAATTTATAGATCAAACACATGGATATAAGTTAAATTCCAACTCCTTAATTAGTATTAGGCCCAAACATGAGAAGCTCATGTAAAAGCCAGTCAACCCAATAGCATAATAGTCCTTTTTGGGGAATCTAACTTTTTTTGGTAGTACAATTATTGCACTTTAAAATATTAATTTTCTAAAATTATCTTTTGATAGTGCATTCTTTTGGAAATATCAATTGTCATAATTGTACTTTTTGTGTTAATGAATTTAAAAGAAGGGCAAAATAGGAAATTCATGTTATTTTAGTTCTTGATTTTTGAAAAGGACTAATATTTTGGGACAATAAAAAATGAAATAAGGGACTAATATTTTGGGACAGAGGGAGCAATTTTTATTATAACGCCTATGTTATTAATAGACTGAAGTGTAGCCTAATGTCACGACCCCATCCTGCCCCATATAGGATAGCGTTGTGACTGGCCAGTAGTTCTCAACTATTGAAGGCCTAACAAGACAAGACTGGACTTACAATACTTGGGGCTTATGCAGAATCATTTGTCCATTAATTACTAAGAGTCCATTCAAAGCATGTGCATAAGTCATGAAAACAAGCATACATCCTTCTTGTATTAATATCTTATATTAGTACAAAGTCCAAACAACAAAAGAAAGGAAAATACAACATCTGATACAAGTTTACAAGCCAAAGCACATATACAATGCTGTCTTCTTAAGGGTACATCTCTCGAAAGAGCAAAAACAAAAGCAAAAGGAAAGACTTCTAAGTCGACTTCTCATCAGAACCCTGATCTTCTTCATCACCTACATACATATGGGGGAGAGAGGTGAGTCATTGCTTAGTGAATAGTAATATAGTAAAGTGGTAAATGAATGAACATCGATGATCTTTAATAAAACCAAACATGGAATCATAGTTTGAACATAGCATAATTTGATCATGAAAAAACAAAGCTTAACTTGCAAGCATATATATAGCGATGAACATTCCAAGGGCTTCGAGAACATCAAGACCCACACAAAGGTGGCAAGAGGAGCTCAGTAAGCAAGAGGTTATTGGCATGATTTCCCAATAGCAAAACATGTTCCAAGGTGTCATCTTAATACATGATACAAGAATATAGGATGTTCATTCATGACAAAACAATAGCTTAACTTTCATAAACATAGCATAGGTTTGCATTTGAAACATAGCTTACTAAACATAACTTTACTACACTACTACTTACAGACGGCTCTTTGAACGAAAGGGTTTTCCTCCGAAACGCTTAACCTACATAAACAGGCATACAAGTGTTGATGAGGCGTAATGCAAAGTAACTTAGGTTCATGGAACTCTAGTTTTTCTTCTCTAATTAAACATATTTTAAGCTGGTTTCTAAGCCTTATTCATTTCTATTTTGAGTTTCAAAAGAGTATAACGAGGTCCGGTGCATCAAAACTAGCAAAAAGGATGAAATCGAGTAAATGTGTTGGCAAATCCGCTTGTGCGGATTTGTTAAGCCTGGAAAATCTGCTTGTGCGGTTCGAGACAGTGACCTCTATCGATAATGTAATTTCAATACGCTCATG